GTTTGCTAGTGACATAAAAAAAAGAGCACTGAGCTTTTTTTCTTGTCGACAGTAAATTTCGTACAGTGTTTTTGAACCATACTATAGTACAGTACTTGAATTAATCTGTTGTGGTAATGCTATAGTGGATGTGGTAATACCACAACTAATATAAACAAATGACCAATACTGTTTAAGTTACTCTACATACAGGGTGATTATTAACATTATTAATTAATAGTAATAATAATAACAATTAATTAACATTACTTATAATAATAATAATACAATTTATTTAATATAGTCACTTTAAAAGTGGCATCTCAAAGTGATTATACACACATAAAAATACAACAGTAAAACACACATACAAGGATGCTTGCATATAAGACTAGACAAACGCTGAAAAAACTATGATGGATTAGTAAAATACTGTTTAATGTTATCTGTAGCAAGTATGTTATGCGTTCAACACAACTTTAACACTTTTAAATAAAATAGCCGTATATCAGCTGTTTAAAATCTCTTTATAACCACATTAAAATACTATATTAATGGACAGTAAGTGTTTTTGAACCATACTATAGTACAGTACTTGAATTTGTTGTGGTAATGCTAGTGGATGTGGTAATACCACAACTAATATAAACAAACGCCCAATACTGTTTAAGTTACTCTACAGGGTGATTATTAACATTAATAATTATTATTAATAATAACAATAACATTCCCAGAGTTGAGTTGCGGCTGGAAGGGCATCCGCTGCGTAAAAACTTGCAGGATAAGTTGGCAGTTCATTCCGCTGTGGCGACCGTGGATTAATAAAGGGACTAAGCCGACAAGAAAATGAAATGAAATAATAATAACAATTAATTAACATTACTTATAATAATACAATTTATTTTATATAGTCCCTTTAAAAGTGGCATCTCAAAGTGATTATAACACATAAAAATACAAAACTGAAAGGATGCTTGCGTAAAAGACTAGACAAACGCTGAAAAAAACTATGATGGATTAGTAAAATACTGTTTAATGTTATCTGTAGCAAGTATGATATGCGTTCAACACCACTTTGGCACTTTAAAATAAAATAATATTTAATACACGCAGTTTCAAACCTCTTTATAACCACATAAAATACTGTAGTAATACAGCACATTTACTACAGTGCTTTTGAACCATACTACAGTACAGCACTTGATCAATCTGTGATAATGCTATAGCTAGTGGATGTGGTAACACCACAACTAATATAAACAAATGACCCAATACTGTTTAAGTTACTCTACAGTGTGTAAAACTACAAAACACGTAGTAAAAACTCAATTGTAATTAATACCACAATCGTTTTTGCCTTGTAAACACGGCAAAACACACAGTACAACACTATAAAGCAACAGTATTTCCTCATACTACGAAGAAACTCGTTGTGTTTACCTTCATTGGGTTCCTCGGGCTCGTCCATCCCCAGCTCCACATTGAAAACCCGTTTTTATTACGTAATATTCCAGTGTGTGTGTGTGTGTGTTTAAATTACAGCATCTCTTCTAGCGTGTTTTACCGTGTGTGTGTGTTTGATGCTGATGCGAGCGCATCTTCCGGCTTTTCACTCCGCGAGAAAACAGATTAAATCCATTGAGCGCCATTAGCAGCGATCGTCACATAATTAAATATGCTTTTTCTGTCGTCACTGCCATCCTCAAAACACCACCAGAGCTGCGGACAGTCCGTCAGGAGAGTTATTAGAAAGAAAAACACTAGTTTAGATTTTATCATCCTCCCTATCCTCCTCCCCCGCGTGCGCGCGCCGAGAACTAGTGCGTCTGTTTTAAATTAAAGGGCTAGTTCACACAACAATTGAAAGTCGCTCACTGTTTACTAGCGGCGAACAAGCGTCGATATTGCAATATGATCATTCGCAATAGTCACATCGCATGTGTTTTGACTTCTGTGATTGTATAATGATTTTTAAATGCACTCATGTATAAGAAAATGTACCATTTGTGACTAACAACTAATAATTTTATTGAATTATTGATATTTTTAGTCAGATACTGTATCTACATACTGTTAGACTCGACAGAACACGATTTATTTCTATTGTATATTTTTCTTTATTGCATTTATGGGATATTTATTAGATTTTATGCACTGCAGAATCTTCCCAATCATCATAAATCCAACTATAGATAGCTAGTCATCGATGAAATTGTGTTCATATCGCAATAAATAACATCACAGAATAAAAAAAATTATCACAATGTTACGATTCTTCCAATATCAAGCTGCCCTAATATTTATTCTCCTTCAAGTGGTTATAATAAACCGTTATGAGTTTCCGTCCTCTGTTAAGCACCAAAGGAAGATATTTTTAAAAATGTTAATCGCTTACTTCTATAGTAAAATTATCCATATTGAGGATATCTCCGTATGGAGAGCTCTGCTGTGACATGCAATGTTAAAAAGTCTATCAATAAAGTCTAAAAAAGTCTAAAATAAAGTCTAACAAACAAACAATATTATCCATAGCATTCCAAATAAATACAATGGAAGTCAATGGTTACAGGTTTCCAACATTCTTCGAAATATCTTCCTTTTGTCCTTCCTTTTGCACAACAGATGTAAACACTTGAAACAAGTAAACTAAGAGTAGTCTAAATTATGACAATCATCATCATCATCATTATTATTATTATTATTATTATTATTGTTATTATTATGGTGAACTGTCCCTTTAAGGCCGTGTTTCGGGGAATAATAGTTGCCTGGAATATTCAATTACCGCTGTAGTACATCTAACAGGCTTTCCAACAGGTCGCTCAGTCTTCTTACACCGAACAATCCCGCTGGATTGACTTAATTCGGAGTTTTTTGGCTTCATAAAGTCAGCATTATTGACATTTCCAGGAAAATCTGCATTTGAATCTTACCTCGGATTCCCAGTACGAACGCCATGCATGTCTGTGTGTCATTCAGTGCGGTGTTTTCTGCTCATTATGGCCATATGCTGAAAGCCCAGGGTTAGTGTGTGTGAGTGTGTGTGCTGGATTACCTGTCTGTAACAGATAATCCAGCATCATAATCCCCTGACTCAAACCTTCTGTGCCACTGAGCTGCTCCAGAACGGAAGTGAATGCGTTTCATATTTAATTAATTAATCGCTGATCTGTCTGATTATGATGTTTTACCACAGTGATTAACCATGAAAATGCATATATTTATATACACACATTATGAAGAAGAGCTTTTATTATGTAATTTAAAGAGGTCTATTTTATTTCTAACTATACTTGGGTGCAAAAATAAATGTTATCTTTATTTTCTTAGTCAAAAGCAAAAGTTTTACTGTTTAACTCAGATCTGTGTTTTTCTGAGGTAAAATTAGTTAAACAGCGACCTCTTGCGGTTTATTTATTCGTTTACATACAGGTCCAACATTTTGGACGATGAAATATATATTTTAATTCGACTGATAATAAAATAATAATGGTTTACAAAATTGTGTGGTACATTTTACTACATCTTACTTAATACTATAGTATTTTATATAGTGAACGGATGCAAGCAGTGTAGCATATATTATTTTTTACAAGATACTTCAGTAAAGTAGTAGTATTTATTTATTTGGGTTTATTTATATTATTTCTATTATCATTTCATTAATTAAATTACAGATTTCGAATGATAAACAATATAACTACACCCACAAGAAAAATAATACCACAGTATACTGTAGGATTTACTATAGTAAAATGTAGCAGATTTTAGCACTATTTAACATTTAATTAATCACATTTCTGAACGATAAGGATCATTTTTAGCTCCACCAACAAGACAAATATATACCATAGATTTACCATTGTAAAATGTAGCATATTGTAGCATTAATTTATTTATTTTGGTAAATTTATTTATCATTTAATTAATTAAATCACATTCTGAAAGATAAAGATCATTTTTTAAACTCCACATACAAGAAAACAAACACCAGAGTATAGTGTGGGATTTACTATGGTAAAATGTAGCATATTTTAGCATTTCTGTATTTCAACTTTATTGTTTTCTTTGTACTCGCATATAAGAAAGTACTACCGTATTTTATAGTAACTAAATATTTTTAAACCTTACCATGGCAAAGTACATGAATGAATCTGTTGTGGTGATTCTACAGTTGCTACGGTAACACCAGAGGTGGGACCAAGTCATTGTTTGGCAAGTCACAAGTAAGTCTCAATTCATTGCCCTCAAGTCCCGAGTCAAGTCCCGAGTCAAGACAGGCAAGTCCCGAGTCAAGTCCCGAGTCAAAGGCAACAAGTCTCAAGTCAAGTCCAAAGTCTTGCAGTTTGATTTTCGAGTCTTTTCGAGTCTTTTTAACAGAAAAATAAAATATATACAGATTAGGTATGGTTGTAAGATCTGTATTAATTAAACAAACCTTTTATATGAAAGAACATTGCTCAGATATATAAAAATACAAAGGCAATTTTCTGAAAAAGTACTGAACAGTGCTGCGTCTCGTCTCCACAGCATAATGCACAAGAACGAGTTCCACCAAAAAAAGACTCCATTTTGCCTCACATCACACAGAAATTGCAGGTCTACTGCTGTCTAATTCATTAAGTTTAGTTGTGCTATGTTATGTCTTCAGTGATCAACTTGTGATTAACCAAAATTACATAACCTCAATGAGGTAGCAGTAGACCAACTCCTGTATATGCTGCAAAGTTAAATTGAGTGAAATTGGAATTTTGTCCATTGAATCTCGTGTGTGCTAAAGAGATGGAGTTGCAAATCCGTCTAGCAGCAATGTAAAATGGTAGCACATATTGTTAATGAAGTAGGCTACTTCATACAAACAATAACGTTGTTTTCTTCACATAACGTTGAAGAGCTTTGCTCTCTACCTTGTGTGATGCTCGTGCACGGATTTCCTCTGTTTGTGGACAAAACTGATTGCTGAGTTCTCAAATATACGCTGCTCACGCGCAAATTTTCTCTCACTCTCAAATATGCACTGCTCACACACACATTTTCTTGAGCGCTCTCAGAGATTATATGCAGACTCACAATTTGTGTCGTGTTCCCTCTTCCTTTCATGCTTTTTGATATGATTCATATTGCTGAACTGTTTAATAACAATACCCAAAATACTAAAATAGACTTACATATTAAATGTTTAATCTAATAAACCATAACATTTTTGGTTGTTTTATATGATGAGATATTTTCAGTTTCAAACACTTAAAGACAGAGAATAGACCAGTGGTGCCCCCCTGAAAATTTGCTTAGGGGGGCCAGAAGAGGCCAGCTACGTCAGTGGCACCAATCAATCCACAATAATTTAGTGGCTGCTATTTATTTATTGAAATATTGCATTGTATTGCATTTATGTAAGTAGATTTAAATAAATAATATCAACAGCAAAATCATATCGGGGTGGCCACAGGGGTGGCTAGAGTTTACGCAGGGGTAACACCCCTTGTAAAGGGGTTTACACCACTATAAGGCACCCCTGGAATAGATGTTGGATGTAAAGAATACATTTTATTTTAAAAGCATTTAAACAAAAACTAATGCAAGCAGAAATGTAACTGTGATAAAATAAGGAAACACTTGATAAGGTATTATAGCCTACTGTACTATCCACTCTTCAAATAAATCTCACTATCAATCTCATTTTATCATGGCAGCTAAAATAAAGTAAACTAGTGTCTGCTGGCTTCCACTTTGCTGATGAGATTGTGGAGGACATTTTCCATGTCATCCTCTTCATTTTGAGGAAAGCTGTTCCACAGGGCCCCTGAACACGTATATTGGCATGTACTGTGTTTTGATCAGTAGCCTACTACAGTAAAGAACTTCAATTGATCAGTTGTGGTAATACTATAGTTGCTATGGTAACACAAGTGTAATATAAACAAATTACCCAGTGCTGTATTATTTTACAATATAGGGTATTTTATACTACAAATCACTACACTTTACTGTAGTAAAACTACACTTTGTATTATTTTATCTGTTCACTATTGTTAATACTACTGTATTATGAAGCATTAATTAACAAGTCGTAAATAATACTAGCCTAAAACATAAGTATAATACAAGTATACAACAAGTATAATACTCAAAAACACTAGAATTTATTAAAGAATTTACCTTAACCTTTTAGTTTTTTGTGTATTGTTAATAAATAGTAAAGCAAGAAAGAAACCATATCAACATTCTTGGAATAATCCTTCGCTAAGCCTCGCCCTCCTTAGTTACTGTTGCTACGCCTATTAGAAAATTATAAAAATAATCTAATAACCTAAGAAACTGATGGATTTGTGCCGAATATTAGCATCATTGACCCATAACAGTGTACAGTACCCATTACTGTCAGCATGTTTGTGTGCTCTTTATCCAGTTTTTATTCAAATTTGCAGTTAAGTGGAAGAAAAAAAAATTGAAATGCAAATCAAAGTATAAATAATAGAAGTGAACAAATAGATTTTTCCTACAAGCAAATATTAGTGTATGTATTTATACGTTACAATAGCGAGGGTTTAAACTAAGCAGTGCTCATAATATCGAGTGGAAAAAAAGAAAAAGACCGCTGGGAAACATAACCTGCTTTGTTTTTTTTTTTTTTTTTTTTTTTTTTTTATAAGAAACACAGTTTAGATCTGTTTAGGATAAGAGGAGTGTGAGTTATTGCCACCTATCACTGAATGTGAATATCGAAAACAAAACCAACTTAGCTTAACTCCTTTACCGCCCCTCACACAGATTGATCCACGCTGGCATTTCTCCTCTTGGGCTTTGGTTTTGAAAAGGGGAAAAAATCCCACCACCCAGTCCAAACTTTTAGGATAGCGGGTGTCAGATTTGCACAATCCAATTGCGCAACGATTTGGCTTGTTTCCCTCGCTCGAAAGCTTGACAGAGCCTCTGCCCGTAGCTACGATTGGTAAGCCGCGATTGGTGGGTGGCGGTTTTTGGGCGTGGCTTAGTGAAGGGTCAGTTTAAAACGAGGATCCCGTGAGAGCAAAAGCACTAAAGGTATGAGACGCCATCGTAGACAAAAGTCAAGCGAACGCAAAGAGACTGAATGCACGAGAGAGAGAGAGAGAGAGAGAGAGAGAGAGAGAGAGAGAGAGAGAGAGAGAGAGAGAGAGAGAGAGAGAGAGAGAGAGAGAGAGAGAGAGAGAGAGAGAGAGAGAGAGAGAGAGAGAGAGAGACTATTGGCGAGTATTGGCTCGATCTCAAGTTCAAATTCAAATTCTCTCTGCGTTCGCTTGACTTTTGTCCACTCCGGCGCCTCATAGTAGTCACGTTGGATACTGTCGAATCAAAACAATCTACCGTGCTTTGATTGGATGTCATGCCGAAAGCGCGCATGCTGTCACACACACACACGCGCGCGCTGTCACACACACGCACACACAAACGGAGAGAGAGAGAGAGCGGTCCATGTCATGATGTCAACATACTTTTTTATCGTTGGGCTTTTCATGGGAAGCAGCAAGTCTTTACAAGTCAATAGGGGCAAGTCCTAGTCAAAGTCCGAGTCATTTATGCTCAAGTCCAAGTCGAGTTCCAAGTCTTTTTATATTTTGTCAAGTCGAGTCTAAAGTCATCAAATTCATGACTCGAGTCTGACTCGAGTCCAAGTCACATGACTCGAGTCCACACCTCTGGGTAACACAATGTCTACACTAACTGATCTGTTGTGGCGCTTCGACAGTTGCTACGGTAACACAACAACTATACTACTTGATCTGTTGTGGTGATTTTGCAGCTGCTAGGATAACACAGTGACTACTAATTGATCTGTTGTGTTGATTGTGCAGTTGCTATGGTAACACAACAACTACAGTAATTGATTTGTTGTGGTGATTCTACAGTTGCTATGGTAACACAACGACAATAGTAATTGAAATGTGGTTATTCTTTAGTTGCTATGGTAACAACCACTATATTGACCTGTTGTGGTGATTCTATAGTTGCTATGGTAACTAACATCTATAGTAACAAACAAATGACAGAATACTGTGGTTTTCTACAACTATAGAGTATAGGCCTTTATACTCTTCACAAAGGCATTAGTTAAGTATAGCGACTGCAATTCTCAAAGTAATTCAGTACAAACAATGATCTGAATTATGCCTATTATTATTTATTTGAACATGAACTCAAAAGACAGTAACAGGATCCTGCTGCAACAGACTAGACATTATTAAATCATTTGAAGAGCGTATTAATGTGACGTCAGTAAATAACTCATTAGTGGTCAGACTCTATTCTCCATACTATCAAAAGCAAACTGCAGAAAAAAATACTATGAAACTCCCTTATCATGATGGCCTTTTGTAAGTGTAAACACAAGTACACACGTCTGCGAATTTAAAAACACAATTAATGTGCAACAGTGCAAAGAGAAAGCATTTCACTGCACTTTTGAAGATGAAATGAAATGTAATTGATCTTGCTGAATACTCAGACTACTGTAGCTATCATCAGAGTGTGTTATAAACGCTCTAATTTAATGAATCTGACTTTAGATAAAGCATTACAGTTTTTCATCTGTCTGCGATTTTAAAAAACACAACATTTAATAGACTGCTTTCGGTAACACTTTACTAAAGGGGTGTTCATAAGACTGTCATTAAACCTTTGTTATCATGATATGACACATCAAAGTGAATGAGACTTTATGCATGCTTATAACAGCTGTTATTAAGTGTCATTCGCTTAGTTATGTCAGTTTAAATGCAAAGATGACATTGCGCGTTATGAAAGCTTGACTTAAATGCATCTGTCTTTATGACAACTTGACATTACCAAGACAACATAACTCGTCATAAATCTGTCATAAACATGATTGTCATGAAGCTATTATAAATATGTCATGACTTTTATAACGGTGTCATTAATATACATCTTTTAAACTCAACTACAGTAAAACAAGCTGAATTTGCCATTAAAGTGTTTTTACATGTTAATAATGCTTTATAACAGGTTATGACACTTTTAATTAGACATTTAAATTACAAATACAATTTGTGTCACTAAAAACATGACCAGAAAAATTATGACGACAATCATGTTTATGACAGATTTATGACGGGTTTTGTTGTCTTAAAGTTGTCATAAAGACAAAGACCGGTTATGATGCATTTATCTCAAGTTATCATAACAAACAGTGTCATCTTTGCATTTAAAATGCCATAACTGAGTGAATGACGCTTAAAAACGGTTGTCATAAGCATGCATGAAATCCCATGTGTTATGTCATGACTATAAAAGTCTTATGACAGTCTTATGAACGCCCCTTAAGGTAAGGTGTTACCCTGCTTCAAATATTTTTTTATTTACTATCCGAACACTTTAATTCATTTCAAACATTCATTTTAAGTCCAAATTAAATAGCGAAGCTTGTAGGGGAAAAAAAAAGTGCACATCCTACAATCTCGACGTCTTCAATATCTAAACTCAAGCAGATCTCCAACGCATTACTGATGTTTTAACAGTAATACACCATTGAGAGCAGGATATTAAATCCTATCCAGGTCATAAATGAAGAGCTATTCTACAAAAAAAGGGCTTCATATATTGCACAAGTCCCTTAATGAATGTGGCATAACTGTGCTGGCAGAATCATTATGTAGTATTTTCATTGGTGAACCTCAGTAATGCTGCAGTCTTATGGTGTGGATGGGTTGTTAGTCGATGTACACGGAGCGTCATGCTGGATCTCGCTGGATGATGGAGATGCAGTTGATGGCTATAACTTGACATTGTTGAGGCCTTTAGACAGGCTCTGTACATAGGTCTCGTGGATGGTGTTGAGAAACTGTGCGTCATTCTGTCAACACATGAAGAGGATTAATGAATAACTCAACTGAAATGCCAAACATGACTGAACAAAGTTGCCATTTTCATGCACATCTTCTCAAGAAAGGATACACATGAAGAAAGGCAGGAAAGTCTAAAAGGGATACAGCTGTGGCTGTAAGTTATTAAGAGTTTTTAAGTAGCTATAAATTGTATTTTATTAATGCCTACCCCAACACTAAACCCAACCCTCACAGTACTGTAAAAACAGTAATCATCAGAGTATTATTCATATGATTTATTAAATGGCGTTCATTATAAGAACATTGTCAACCATTGGTACCTTGATGAGGTGTATGAGTGTGTCCTGCAGCTGAGTTCTGCTGTACAGCGCAGTGGGCGGGTCTGTGGGGGACGTCGGGGAGGCGGAGCTTTTGCCTGCCTCTGTCGCCTTGTTGACGGAATGCTGGAATACACTGGGAGACAGCAGCAGTGAAGACTCCTCCCCCTGGACAACTGGCCCCGCCTTCATCACAGAGAAACAGAAAAACACTGATAAAGCCTGATTTATACTTCTGCGTCAAGTGACCGGTGTAACCCACGGCGCATGCATCGCACGTAGCTGTGCATTTATACTTCTGCGTGCTGTCTCTGTTGCTCTGCATTAACACTTCCGAAACGCTATTGGGCAGTGAGGTGTAAATGTTCCTCTGTGTTAAGTTTCTTCGCCTGTGTTTTGTTCTTTCTGAACGCTTCAGGGATGTACAAGTGGTTCAAACTCGCTCATTTTGAGGCCGGAAACAGCGGACGTGCAACAACTTTAACTATGAGAAAACCACAAAACAAAACTTTCCATCCGGAGCTCCTTCACGGGACTCCACACTTGTAAACAATCGCTCCATCGGGCTCGCATCGCTCTCGGTCCCGCCCAGACTCGTCAGCGCTATCAATCACAGAGCTTGCGCTACGCATCATTGTGATGTGTAGTTACATTTTTTAAAAGAGATGCACGTCAACGACGCCGACGGCCACAGCAAAGGGCTATGCGTCAACGGATAGGCTGCGCCGTAGCATACGCATGCGTTTGACGCAGATGTATAAATCAGCCTTAAAGAGGAACTGGCAACCTGATGATATTTCCAATATCTGCAGAGGGAACTTACTGGGACGGGTTTGACCAGAGCCGGGGGCTGCGTGAAGGCGTTCACTTCTTTACCCTGTGATGGAGACAGGAAAAGATCATTACTGTATTTGAGCCAAATCAGCGTCATTGGATGTTATTTGTTTTGCAGATACACAAATGTTTCACAACAAGATTTTATGAATGCAATACACTAAAAACAACTCATCACCCTGGAATATAAGGTTCTCTCTGCGTTCTGAATGATTTTGAGATAGAGCTTAAAAGTTTTTGCATTGCATAGCAAACAGTATGAGTGCAACATTTGTTTTTTTTTTAAATAAAAGGTCTACAACTGTAAATAAAATGTAAACAAATTATTTAAAAATCCTATAATGTAAATAAGATGTCATTTAATAAGAATAATATGTCAGATAGAACTTTATAATTCTAAGGAGACGAACTGTCAGAATTGACAAAGTGTAAAGGGTTAACATAATTACAGCACGGTCTAAATTGTTGAATTTGTTTGTGGGTCCAAACATTCTTGAAAGCTTTTCCGGATAAAAACTAGAGGTGTGAACCTATACTGGTCTCACGGTTCAGTTACGATTATCATGCCATTGATTCGGTTCAATTCGATATCTCTGTGCATCACGGTGCATTGATGATATGCGTTTAGCCGGGAGAGCTCGCGCTGAGCAGAGCAAAAAAAACTAGAACCTAAAGTTCATTGATAAACTTTGATGTTGGCTTGAGAAAGTCAACTTGACTGATAGAGATATTGCTATTTTTAAATGGTTGCTAGGTTATACTGTTTTATTGCTATGGGGACATTCGACAGGTTAGTGATGATACATTAAAGCTTCTTGGCAATACGAGTGATCTTAATCAACCCCGATGTTTCTATGACAGTCTTTATGAGTGTCAAAAACTGGACTTGAACATTATGTATTCCTGGTGTTGGATTGCGGCTGGAAGGGCTTTCGCTGTGTAAAACAAATGCTGGATAAGTTGGCGGTTCATTCCGTTGTGGCGACCCCTGATTAATAAAGGGACTAAGGGAATGAACATTGTGTAAAAATGGCTTGCCGTATTTTTTTGAAAATACAATGCTTAATAAGTGTGAAAGTGACACATGCAAAAATGGCTTGCCATATCAGTAAAAAAATATGGAGTTTAAGTCAAAAATGGCTTGCCATATCAGTAAAAATATGGAGTTTAAGTCAAAAATGGCTTGCCATATCAGTAAAAATATAGAGTTTAAGTCAAAAATGGCTTGCCATATCAGTAAAAATATGGAGTTTAAGTCAAAAATGGCTTGCCATATCAGTAAAAATATAGTTTAAGTCAAAAAAGGCTTGCCATATCAGTAAAAATATAGAGTTTAAGTCAAAAAAGGCTTGCCATATCAGTAAAAATATAGAGTTTAAGTCAAAAAAGGCTTGCCATATCAGTAAAAATATAGAGTTTAAGTCAAAAAAGGCTTGCCATATCAGTAAAAATATAGTTTAAGTCAAAAAAGGCTTGCCATATCAGTAAAAATATAGAGTTTAAGTCAAAAAAGGCTTGCCATATCAGTAAAAATATAGAGTTTAAGTCAAAAATGGCTTGCCATATCAGTAAAAAAATATGGAGTTTAAGTCAAAAATGGCTTGCCATATCAGTAAAAATATGGAGTTTAAGTCAAAAATGGCTTGCCATATCAGTAAAAATATAGAGTTTAAGTCAAAAATGGCTTGCCATATCAGTAAAAATATAGAGTTTAAGTCAAAAATGGCTTGCCATATCAGTAAAAATATAGAGTTTAAGTCAAAAAAGGCTTGCCATATCAGTAAAAATATAGAGTTTAAGTCAAAAAAGGCTTGCCATATCAGTAAAAATATAGAGTTTAAGTCAAAAAAGGCTTGCCATATCAGTAAAAATATAGAGTTTAAGTCAAAAAAGGCTTGCCATATCAGTAAAAATATAGAGTTTAAGTCAAAAAAGGCTTGCCATATCAGTAAAAATATAGAGTTTAAGTCAAAAAAGGCTTGCCATATCAGTAAAAATATAGAGTTTAAGTCAAAAAAGGCTTGCCATATCAGTAAAAATATAGAGTTTAAGTCAAAAAAGGCTTGCCATATCAGTAAAAATATAGAGTTTAAGTCAAAAATGGCTTGCCATATCAGTAAAAATATAGAGTTTAAGTCAAAAAAGGCTTGCCATATCAGTAAAAATATAGAGTTTAAGTCAAAAAAGGCTTGCCATATCAGTAAAAATATAGAGTTTAAGTCAAAAATGGCTTGCCATATTTTGAGAAAAATAATGCTTAAAAATGATTTATTGAAAAACTATAAGTCTGATAAACCTTAAAGTAATAGCAACAAAATCTAACGCATCTAAATACAGCTTTTGGCCAAATTTGGGGCTTGTATAATATTTTTATATGCCCGGGTTATAAAAACTTTATATTTAACATTTTTTATTTAAAAAACGATAAGTGTTATAGGCATGAGGAGATATAGCAACAATCTTGAATGCAGAAGGCACATTTTGACCACATTTGGGCCTTGTGGCATGAGCGGCCTAGGAGGAGATACGTTTGTTTTCAAGGACAGAGTAGTATAACAGTATGTTGGCTTTCTCAAGCCAACATAAAAAAAAAACAAGCAAAAAAAAAGGGGGAAAAAAGACGCACTTTTCCGACGGTCCCTTACTGAGAGCTCTGCTCAGCGCGAGCTCTCCCGGCTTAACGTATATTGCAAGGGCTTAAAGGTAGCAGTCTCACACTATTGCTTTCCTCTTTCTGAAAGTCTTGATCACACCATCCTGGAGTTTGTCTGTCATTATATAGCAAACAAGATCATAAAAACATGATTTGTTATAGTCTCCTATTTACTGCGCTTTGAGTTTACAAACTAAGAGCTCTTCTGCTGCACAGGAGAAACACATGCATGTTAAAGGCTCCATTAGCAACAAGATAATCTGCTGCACTGACCGGTGCTGAAGCTGCAGTCTTCCCGGAGAACGGAGCAGAGGTTTTGCAGCCGGAATCTCTGAAGCTCTGCGGAGTGACCAGAGGACTGGGCATGAACCCGGGCAGAGAAACAGGCATCCCATGAGCGTCCGCACTGATGAACGCTGGAGGAAAGGGGCTGGTGGAGCCGCGAGGAGCGCTGGTCTCCTCTGCTGATGTCCGAGGGTCTCTGGGCTGGAGCAGACTGAGCAGCGGCGGGCCCCCGGGGTCAGAAGACAGCCGCGGAGCCAGCGCAGGGTTGAATGGGATCCCACGCAGACCCAGACCCTCTCCCACCGCTGAGATCGAGGACAAAGGAGGAGGATCTTTGGGTAAAGAGCTGCCGAAAAGCTCCTCCACTGTGATCTGCTTCACTACTGAGTGACTGGACTGAGCAGAGCAAACAAAAACCACACATTTCACACAGAGCTGTCATATCCGGACAGCAAACAAGTTAAAAAATGCCTCAAGCAAAGCTCTTGAACGTCTCGGAGAAATCAAAGTGAATGTTTTTAGGTGTTAGTATCAATGTGCCTGTACAGAGGCAGGATAAATTATTCCTGAGTGCCGTTTAATGATTCATTGCGATTAATCGCATGTAAAATAAATGTTTGTGTATACATACATGTGTACCGTGTATATTTCTTATGTATATGTAAATACATATACACATATTCTTAACATGCTATATGTATATCAATATTTATAAGTTGTATGCAATGTGGAGTGGCGCTGTGGCTCAGTGGTTAGCACTGTCGCCTCACAGCAAAGAAGGTCGCTGGTTCGAGTCCCGACATTTGTGCGGAGTTAGACAGACAGACAGACCGACCGACCATGGATAGATAGATGTATAGAACGATGGATGGATGGATGGATGGATGGATGGATGGATGGATGGATGGATGGATGGATGGATGGATGGATGGATGGATGGATGGATGGATGGATGGATGGATGGATGGATGGATGGATGGATGGATGGATAGATAGATAGATAGATAGATAGATAGATAGATAGATAGATAGATAGATAGATAGATAGATAGAACGATGGATGGATGGAACGATGGATAGTACGATAGAT